TCATCCGGGCGACTGAGGGCGGGCCAATCCCAGGGGAACGCGCGCAAAACCCAGACGGAGTGTTTAATGAGTTAATGCGGTGGGTTCGAGGAGATGCAGCAGATTCAAGCAACGATCGTCATGGAACAGAAATAGTTCTACCAATGATGGTAAGGTGGTTTGGGTGAGACCGACGGACGTAGGGGGGGTGGAATGAGTCTCCTGATAAGCAAACGAGGCCAAAGGGGGGAAAGGAAAAGCACTACGAGAGTGTCGGCCAGTCAGGAACGGACCAGCCAGGCAGGAATGCGCAACCGCAAACGGATAAGTCTGGAATTAGAGTGGAAGAAAAAAAAAGTTATATTTAGTAGTGCCCTTCTCTTTGAGTTCCTACTGGGCATTGAGAAAGTGACAACAAGATAACTAATGCACACCATTCACACATGGTGCATGCCAACCATTGCACATCCCGTGCGATACAAATGCTAGCTAGACACACTTTAGGGGATGGAGGGCTTCATGATTTGCTCTTTTCCATATGCAAAGATTGTCACTTCTGACAGGGCGACTAGGATGACCCGCATGCTACTACTATAAGTACAACTGGGAAATGTTCCGCTCATCTAACTCGAAATTAACACCACGCAATCGCTCATGCTTTCAAACTCATGCTAGCAAGATGCGCTAAAAACCTGTAGATGTACCCGATAACCAATTGCCCGGACAAATGAAAATAAAATATCGATCGGCTAATATGCTGAAGCAGAAAAAAAAATGTAGAGGATGGAAGCAATAAAGGATTAAGTCAGACGATACTCTGTCGCCAGCGGTCGATAATCTCCCGCTGCCCCGGTTCATTGACCGGTCGGACCATCTTCGTTTTAGGCGGCACAGCATAGCTGAGATGGTTCATCCCTAGTAACGCATCACTGTAAAAGGTATTGGGATGCACCATTCCGGGGCCATATGGCACTGTGCCGGCGGGCCCCTGGTATTGGGGATACCCAGCACCCGGCATCGGCCCATAATTCGGTGGAAACTGTTGGAGAGACATTCGATGGTCCAGTGTGCGCTGAGGCATCGGCTGAGGCGCGGCAGTGCCCATTGTCGACTGCCGTCCAACAGTGGTGGGACGTCGAGCGTGGAGGATGTCTGCCATGCTTCTTCGGTACCGGGGGATCTTCAATGTGGAATTCTGTCGGGCCTCAGCCTCAGCCTCCTTCTGCAGGCGAGCTCGACGTTGGGCCAGAGTTTCATCTTCCGGTGGCGTTTCCTTCTCTTGGGTGGTTTCTTCAGCGTCCCCCACCTGTTTGATCTCCGCCAGAATCTCGTTTGCAAAATCACTATCGGCGGGTGCACTAGGCTGGTCTTTCTCCTTGAGCCGTTTCAAGCGTTGGGCTAGAGTCTCGCCTTCGTCACCACTATCTTCTTGCGGCTGATCGTCTGGTGCGCCCGTAGAATACATGGTGACCGGGCGCCTCTCAGGGCTGCGCGGGGCAGGCTCACCGCGGAGCCTGGCACGACGCCTACTGAGAGGCTCGGACTCTTCCAGCTCCCTTCTTTCCATCAGTCCCAACGGACGTACCTCACTGACCGCATTCGCCTTTTCGGGAAACAGCATGCCCAGGGGCACATCATCGTCATCGTCAACTTCTTGGGGATGGGCATCTGGGGCTTCCCATGCCAAGGTCACTGGTCTTTGACGTCGGTGTTCGCTCTGCTTCTGCGCAACCGCTTCGAGTTGGAGAAGAGTCGAGTGTAACGCCGTAGTTTCGGGGGCCGATCGCAGTCGTTGTTTCAACTCGCTCTTTCGGTATTCAAGCTCGGCCAGCAGCGTGTTAGGGGGCCCGGTGAAGTCAGCGTCAGGCTCTTCATGATTGTGCTCTTCCCCATCGGCCTCGGGCGCATCAGGACCGCCAAGCCCGTCTTGATTAGCATCCCGTAAAGATGTGCCTTCATGGACATCTGCAGCCTCGCCTTCTGTTTGTTTGTGTAAGTGACCGGATTCAAGAGGCACATCTTTGAGATCCGGATCAGACAAGCGATGGCCAAGCCCAAGCATACTTGTGGAGCTCAGCGACTTTCGCTGCTCCGTCAAATCCCTCGAAGATAGTTTGCGGCTTGCTTGACTGAACCCTTTAGGGTCCAGTTGCCCCGTGAACGCACTGACAGGTGCAGTTGTAGAAGCATCAAGAATGTTGTCCAGCGTCGCCACTGCAGAAGCCTGAGTGACCTCTACATCAACAGCTCTAGCTGGTTGTTCGAAAAACATACTCGCGCGCAGTTGTGGAGGTACGCTTGTCGGCTGGTTGTGGTTACTTGACTCGCCACCATCGCCTTGATCCTGACCAGCGACCACCTGGGTGGACTTGCGGTTTTTGGCAGCGAGCACACCTAGGAGCTGTGAACGACGTTTGCCTCGTGGCTGATCACTCTTCTGCGACAAACGAGGTGGTAGATTCAACATCCTTGGCACAGGAGCAGGGTAGTAAACCATATTCTCGCCTGCCTGCGGCTCCTTATATGCCTCGGATCTGCTTGCCAAGGGAGGTCGCGTCAGCGACACTCGTCGGCCCAGATTACTCTCATTCGGAACATAATGCACGCCATCAAAGTCGTTGAACAGGACCCTAGCCTGTTGATACGTATCGGTAGAAGCAGCTGTGTATGTCCGTTCCAGCTCTTCCCCAAGCTCCTGGTCGTAGTAATCCTGCTGAACAAAGTCGTGCTCGGTGTGCACAGCCGGCGGCGGGGGAGGAGGAAGGTAAGGCATCGCGGGAACTCGAGTGGCCGAATCGCCGTAGAATCGCGCAGGGGCGTGTTCTGCAACCTGTGCCAAACGAGAGGACTGTATGGAGCCGTGGCGAGACGACAGACTTGTTTTGAGGCCGTCGTAATTGCTGGCGTGAGTGGAGTTGGAGGCCGAACTAGAGCGTCGCTTCTGTTCCTGATCCATTCTGCGAATCTCGTCTCCGATATTGGAACTCAGGCTCATGCGTTCCGCGCTCCTTTCAAGCCGCTCTACATTATTGATGTAGGCTCCTTGCAGCGATTGAAGGTCAGGCGTCGGATGATTGAGGGGAACCGGCTGACCGGTGACTGGAGTCCGGAGGGCCGGTTCAGGGGTGTGGGCATCGGTAGCGGCGGTGGTAGTCGTAGAACTAGTCTGAGGGACTGTCTTTAGTGGAGGGACATAACGGGGACTATTGGAACTCTGGTCCGCAGAGGGATCGGCAGGCAGTTCATAGTCATCTTCCTCCACCATATCATAGCTGGTAGAGGTCATCGATCGGATCATAGAGCCCAAGCTCTTGACGCCTGAGTCTTCATTCGACTTGGCGGGTTGCAGGTATGAGCCCGCCCCAATGTGGTCAGCGTCCAGCGGCAACTGCTGGAAGTGACCATTGTGCTGAGAGTCCGGCGACGGGCTGCGGGAATGGTCCGAATCGGTCGCGTTGGAAGCCACCTCGTGGTCGGCCTGAGAAACGGCGTTGTAGGCCATTTTCAGCAGAATCTGAAGCAATAAAAGCGCGGCCAAGCGCCGTTCAGGGAAACGAGCCTTGCCGGGGGAGAGACCCGTTGAAAGAGTGAGGGTGAGGGGGTGGGAAGTCAATAATGGTCAGCCGGGAACAACGTTTACGTCGGTGCAAACCTAAGATAAGGAAAATGCGCCCGGCGGGAACGGGGTTGCGCCCCCCTGCTGTTGAACGACACGATCACGACCCTGGATTCAGGGTAAGAAAGGAAAGAAGGGAGATGGAAGAGAAGAGAAGAAGAGAGGGAGACAAAGAACGAATGCTGCAAGGAACCGAAGGAAGAAGAGCCATGGTGGATGGTTTTTGTTCTGGACTTTTTGCTGCTGCTCCTTCCTGCGACAAATTAAGTAATTTAATTTCAGGTATTGAGCAGGTAACGAAGGTATGGGGGATTGTTTTCCCTCGTTTTGACGGTCCCTAAAAGTTGCTAAATTTGGATGCCAGGGAAAAGAGAAAAAAGAGCCTGGACCGGCTAGAAAGTGGCCCGCTTTGAGTCTGTCCGCCCTGTTTGCGGTGCTCCATTTATTTGCAGAACTAACTCCATGAACAGTTTAGTCCTCGCTCTTATGCAGAGTTCGGTTTTCAGCTACATACAAAGTAACCAGGTAGAGACCCAAAGATACTTTGAGGAAAGGATTTGCCAGCCAATCCGGGATCAGTTAGTAACTACTAAATTATCTCTGCACTTATCTGTCGCAGCGCTTGATTGATGCCGCTGAAGGTAACACCGCATTCAGATTGTACCTAAGCATAGTAACTAAGTAACTAACTAACTATAGGGTAGGACTGTAAGTATGTATGTGTACCCCATACCGGCGGCTATCTCTCGATACAGCGGCACAACGGCTGTGAGCGAGGGGGCCAGGTGGCTTTCTGACAGAGAGAAGTCGACTTATACGGTGAGCCTCTATCCCTTTTCAGTCATCTTCGTGATGATCACCGACATTGTCTTTCATAGTATCCATCCCCATGAGGTATGATGGATGTGTTAAGTAGTATACTGCGTTACAACACGGTAATTTACTTGTTTCCCCCCAAACAAGGGTCTTGCTTAGTCACCAGATAGACTTGCCTATCCGGGCAGTTGCTCACCTGGTCTGGCGGATTCGAGAGTCAAACATCGACTCATCCCTGTCGCCCCCTGGAACATGGTACTCGATACATCAACTCCTGAAATCTCATTTGGTCTCAGGTTAGATGCATTTTGCGACCATGCGAAAATATTGAAACTATCGGCGGCATGCCGATTCTGCGGAGAACAGAAGGACCCAACGACGTCATGTTCCCACCAACAGTAGACTAACTAATTACCGAGACCAAGGCAGGAGACCACTAGCTTTGCAGCTGCTTCCAATCACTGGGGAAGTCGACGTTGGTTTATACCCTTGCCTTTATACAGTGGCCATACCAGCGCAAAGGCCTTCTCTTGAGTTTTTTAGGTTTAATACCTCAATTGCACTTTCCGTCATAGTGCTTACATTCACTGACTCGTGTATTCAACAAACATGTTTCTATATACTTTTCATCCTTTGTACATATCACTCCTGCAAAACAGCCTTGAACCCCTCCAGCAAATCATTCTTCAAATCTACCCAATTCTCCAACCCGATACTCAGCCGCAGCAACTTCCTGTCCACCCGGGAATCCGATAACGCACGCCATTCGATCAAGGACTCAACACCGCCCAGACTCGTGGCGTGCTGAAAGAAAGCCAACTTGCTAGGTAGTCGTTGCGCAAATTTTTCACTCTGGAGGACAATTGAGAAGACAGGGCCGAATCCATTAGGCATCTGCTCTTTGATCCAGGGCTCCTCCTGCAGGCTGGTATGGTATATTTTCTTTACGACAGACTGGACTATCTGTTCTTCACTTCCAGCAGCAGGAGAAGGGGCAGTCAAAGCCTGATTAAGCCAGGCAACTAGACTCCCGCAGCCCTGACTCGCTCGTTGGACGCGAACCTCGAGGGTGCGTAGACTGCGGAGCCCAAGCCATGCCTCCAGATTGCCAATGACATTGCCCAATGCGACTCTATCTTCCAGTAGCTGCTTCTCCCAGTCTCTGCGCTGAGTAGCGAGTACACCACAGAGAAGGTCACTATGGCCGCCAAGATACTTAGATCCCGAATGCAGAACGAGATCAGCGCCCCACCGGAAGGGGTCCTGAAGACCCGGAGGCCCAAAGGTGCTATCAACCACCAAATAAGCACCTCTGGAATGGGCCTTCTTAGCGAACTCATCAATACTGAAAGAAGTTCCTAGCGGATTGACGGGGGTTTCCAGGAGGATGACATCGCCTTTGTCAAGCTCATCAGCCGGGCAATCGAGTGGTAGCTTCTGCAGCCCCGACAATCTGGAGATAACAGAGATGACCTCATGACTGCCGTGATAGCCTTCGCCGACCGAGATGCGACGGGGGTTCAAGAGAACGAGGGCGGCCTGAAGGGCAGCGAGACCGGTCGAGTAGCTAACAACCCGGCCGTTGAGAAGTGACGAAACGACAGCTTCGAATCGAGTTGCGTTGGGGGCGAATTCTCTGGAGTAAATGTAGTTTTTGCCGTCGAATTCTTCCTAATAAAGCTGTTAGTTGTTGGGGTCATCATTACATTGGGGAATGCGCATTGGCCGATTGGCAAACATACCACGGGGTCAACGGACGGGATCAAATCTTCTGGGTTATCGGGAAATCTGAAAGTCGTAGACAGATGGATTGGAGGTGCGACGTCTGTCACCCGGTTAAGGTGATCGTCTGCATGCAGTGCTCGGGTCGAGGGATGATGAAGGTTAGAGGGAGTCATATTGCTCGAGTCGTCTGCTGAGTATATTCTTTTGATATGTCAAGTCTGACAATAGTGAAGACTTAAGGTAAGTTTGAAGAAATTGACTCGAAGACGTGAAATGACTTCCTTATATACACATAGAGTGAGTAGATTGCCTTCAGGTTCTTCTCTATACTTCGTCTTTCTCTGGCGGAGACCCCGCCCCACTCCCTTCAAGTTCCTAAACGGGCAAAGATTTGGAGAGGAAAATCTCTTTCATTGGTTCGGGAGATGTGGCCCCGCCACCATCCCGAACTGGCCTGAGTTGCACTATCACAGATATTTTCCAGATACATTTTAGAATCTAATGCCAGATATTTTGGCCAAATGACTTTGAAACGACTTGCACGTGTGGGAACGGACATCAAAGTCTGATGTTAAGGATTCTTGATCCGTCACTTGGTGGCTACTGACCACGTGCCGCAATGCTCAGGCACGTAACAATATCCACCACATTGCTCAACGGCTCAAGTTCCGAATTCCGAGGAGATAGTCATAATGTTTTCCGCAGAAGCCAAGAGGGTTCTACACCTAGTACAGCCCTATAGGTTCAACTCACCAGTTGTGCTGCTTACTAAAGAGCACTAAGTGAATCCAGTTTCGGCGATACTGTCCAATCAGCATACTATCCGATGCGCTGACAGACAAAAGTATGACTCTTCGGCCGATAAACTCAGGATCTAGATAGTATTATAAGAACGCTTGTCCTCTCTACTACACTTACAATTTCTCCAAAATAAACCCATACTCTCTAAGTATCGCAATCCTCCCCCGGCACTCACAATGTATCTCCGCGCCATCCACGCCGAATCCCACATTGCAGCCCTCCACCAACTCATCCGCCAAAACCCCCTCGGTATCCTCACAACAGCAATCAAATCCCCTCTCTACCCCCTCCTGCAATCAAGCCACATTCCCTTCATTCTGGATGTCCCCCAAACAGAAGACTCATCGGACGAAACAATCCCCAATGGCACCCTCCGCGGCCACATGGCCAAGCAAAACCCCCAAGCCAAGGCCCTCATGGAAGCACTAGCAGCACAGCAACAACAATCAGGCAACAATCCCAGCTCTCTTGAACTCGAAGACGAAGTGCTCGTCCTCTTCACCTCCGAACACCACCACTACGTCACACCCAAGTTCTACACGGAGACGAAGCCTGCCACGGGGAAGGTCGTCCCAACGTGGAACTATGCCGCTGCGCAAGCGTACGGCAAGATTCGGGTTTATTGTGATTCGAAGTCCGAGGAGACGGGGGCGTTCTTACAGAAAGCCGTGGAGGATTTGACGAGTCAGAGTGAGGGGTCTATTATGGGGTATACGGGGACGGAGGGGCGTCCGGGGCCGTGGAAAGTGTCGGATGCGCCAGTGCCGTATGTGGAGATTCTGAAGAAGAATATTATTGGTATCGAGATTAGGATTGAGCGGTTGCAGGGGAAGTTTAAGATGAGTCAGGAGATGGGGAAGGGGGATCGTGAGGGGGTTGTTAGTGGATTTGAGGCGTTGGAGACGGATGTTGGGAAGGGGGTTGCGCAGATGGTGAGGGAGAGGGGGGAGATGAAGGATGCGCAGAAGTAGGAGTATGGAGAAGTGTTAATGGATCAATGAGCAAGGATCAGATAGTATCTGCTTATGTGGGGCGCCATGCATATAGTGCTGAAGATTGGCACTATCTTAGTCAAAATTACTATATAACCGCGGCAGTTGTCTAGCACATTTGAGATGGTGGAAGTTATCATGCGTATCCTGTCATTGCCTCGTGTCCTAGATGTCATGATTGAAACAGACTGTATCTTATTTCACTCTGCTGATTTCAATCTCGTCCTGATGCATATATATAATTAGCACATATAAACATACAAGAACGACAACGGAACACCTACAACTATATCTTCTGGGAAAAGGAGACATTTCATTCCCCAGCTCTCATACTTCGAGCTCCCACGGACAAACTCCCGGTAAGCCGGCGCACCGGGATGCACCACATTATCCGCGAGTACCAAGGAGCCAGGGTGAAGGAAGCCAAGCCGTTCCGACAGCTCCAGATCAGGTACATAAAGATCCTTGATATGATCAATGAACATGAGATCAACACTAGGTAGCTTCCCTTCCGCACTTAGGCGCTTGAGCGACTCGTCCGCCGGCCCGACAACCACTTTGGCAATATCGCTGAGACCCGCCAATTCGATAAAATTCATGGCGATAGATGCAATGAGGGGATCAGCTTCCAGACTCCACAAGCGGAGGCCTGTCGAGGATCCACCAGCGGCTTGCCGCATGGCGTCTGCGAACATGATTGCGGAGTAGCCGACATAGGTGCCGAGCTCAACGACAACCTTTGGCTTTTCATCTGCGAAGAGCGTCGAAAGCTTCTTGGCTTTGTCTGGGCCAAGGCTGATAAAGAAGGCTTGCTTTGCAGCGAACTCGTCGATGAGAGCGAGTAGGGCAGACGGATTGCCGCGGGTTTGGGGCAAGGAGGGGTGAGAGTAGATGTACTTTAGCAAGGAAACCTCCAGAGTATCGTGAGACTCGGACTTGCAAAGAGAAACTGGTTTCTCGTCAACTGGTGCCATTGTGTTGGATTAGTATGTGTCTTGGCGAGATATTTAGCCTACTGTACTAGTATGGGTGTAGAAGGGAGAGAAGGGCGATAAACCGACGCCGGGCTAGAACAACGGAGGGGCTTACGCAGAACTATATACTCGTTCACATCTTGCTTATCGCGCATAGAGCGACATGAAAAATGTAGAATGCAAGGTAGGAATGAGAAGAGTATATATCATGCCGTAAATTTTGGTTGACCGGTCAGTTCAGGGGGCGCGGATCGTGCTTTGATTGGATGGCGGAAATACTTTGGCGGCCAGACCTTGAATCTCCCCACAGAATTACTCCCGGCCTCGCTGCATCTTCCTCCATCTTTCATCCCCGCTCTGTCCTATCAGACACCATCATCGAACTTTATTGTCTACAGACTCTACATGTCTCACATTTTATCTCCATTGCAGATCACGGCCTCTCTGTGCGTTGGGCATCAAAACTGCTGGACTGGCATTCGATGAGGGGATCTCGCCACGCAGTAAAGACAGCGTCGCTACGCAGCCTACTATAGACTGTACGTCCAACGAGAATGGAGGAGCCGTGCTACACTTGTCGACGCCGGCGCATTCGCTGCGACCAGTCTCAATCTCCTTGCGTGAAGTGTGCGACAAGTGGCTATCAATGCTTTGCTTCTAGACCTTTGAGATGGGTTGAAGGCCTAGCGATACGGGGGAAGCTGCGGGGCGTATCACTGGCAACTAAATCAGCTAGTCCAGCTAAAAAAGCAAAACCCCGAAAAGAGTCAGACTCGAGTGATGACAGTCTTGCATCGGCGAGTGAGTCTGCTCTTTCCGTTGTGCGGTCTCCCGAAAGTCAGGGTAAGTATAGCTGCTGCATACACTATTGAGTATTCAATAAATCGCTCATATCGGATTAGTCACCCCATTGAAACCTTCAATCAGCATACCACCGACTATAGGCGATTTTGCCATATCTAACCTGGACGCAGTTTCCAGGTACTACTTGGATTATTGTGAGTCATCTCGTTGGGTTGTGCACGGTCCTGTCTAACGCTGCATCAGATAATGAAAGCATATGTGGGCTCTTCATCGTTTACGACAGCGATAGGAATCCTCTTAGGGCCCTAATGTCACTCGCGCTGCTTGACCGCACTCTCCTCAAGTCCGTACTGGCTCTTGCAGCGCGACACCGGGTAAATCGACATTGCTCGTTCCGTGATCTCACTGTCAATGCATCATCCGATCAAATGATTGCAAACTCTGACGCGCTTCGCTTCAAATATCAAGCCATACAAGGGATTGCACAAGCCCTGGGTGATGCGAAATCACGGAACAAGGATGAGACAGTGGCAAGCATATTCCTCCTAGTATTTCTAGATCTTCTGGAGTCTGGAAGTGATCGGTGGAATGTCCACCTAGAAGGTGCCAAAAGATTGTTGGAACCCAGTACACCTGATTCGCAGGCTGTTTCCAGACACGATTCCGGACAAACTATAGAGGATCTGCGTAATTTTCTTGCTAGTCAGATTTACTCGTAAGCAAGGAGCACTCTGGGTGTTGACTTCTGTGACTAACGATCGTCTTACTTTAGCATCGAAACCTTGGGTGGAACCTTTGTACGCCCAAAGTTATTGTCACAGTACGATTTGCTTGGGGGCCCACAATTCCAAGAGACCGTCGAGCAGTCATTCCTTGGATGTCCAGAATACCTGCTGGACGCTATACGGTATCTCTCTGCGCGAAGAGACACAATTGCCAGCTCCGAATGCCATGATGACTCCACCTGGAGCTACTTCATTGAAGATACTACATCGATGATAGACTTCATCCAGCAATTCGACTGTTCTGTATGGGCTTCGTCGCTACCATATCTGGGCACCACCCCTCCAAGAGATACAAGCTCTCTTTGCACACTGGCGCAATCATACAAGATAGGAGCTCTAATATATGGAAAACGCGTCCTTGGCGCTCTCACTAAGGAGTGTTTACCACTGGAGGACCTGCTCCAGGAGTTGCTTGCCACGATTGAAAGGTTGCAGAACGACGAGTCCTTGTACAAATGCATCCTCTGGCCCATAATAATCGCTGGTCTTGAATGCCAACGACAGGAGCAAAGAGATTCTGTGCGGACTTATATGGAAAGTTTTTGGGAGCAGACCAAGTGCGTGAATGTGATCAATGCTTCCAAGATTATAGAAGACCGCTGGCAGCGGTGCGACGGTACAGAACCTTCACACTGGATATTCTCAATCGGTCACTTGGGCCGTGACTGGCTTTTGATTTGAGCGCTAGCTCGAACAGGCTCACAAAGATGACGCTGATACCGAGACAACATGGATGTTCTTGGGTTTTAGGGCGATGTTCTGTTTGACTATCTGAACCATTCACTTGACTTGGGATATGGCATTCAGAAAGCTCAATGGTGGCTTGCGATTTGATGTTCAAGTAGGCCTCGCTCATCCCGTTGCCAGGCCTTGGCTGGATCGAACGCCCCTGTAAAAGAGTGAGCAGGGCGTAGCCATTTTCCAGA